ATGGTGGTACATGCTTGTAGTTCCATTTACTTGGGGAACCGAGGGTGAAGGATCACCTGAGCCCAGGAGGCTGTGGTGAGCAGTGATTGTGTCATTGCACTCCCAGCTTCGGCAACAGACTGAGATCCAGACTCAAAAAAAAAAAGAAAAGAAAAACAAACAAACTGAAATGAGCAACCAACAATGACAAAACTGGAAAGGCTTCCAGGAACTGGAGCTAGAATCAATAATGATAATAATAACTAATGATAATAATAACTAATAATAATCATAACAACAAACATTTATCAAGCACCTGCTGTATAGATCAAGACTCCTAAGAAGTGTCTCATGCAGCCTCTCACCATCCCTCTGGTGAAGTATTACTGCAAATATCCCCAAGTTCAAGGCTAAAGAACTGAAGTCTGAAAATATTCAAATTCAGCCCTGTGTCCTGTGACCTCCTCCGCAGTGTAGATAACTGAGTTCTCTCATCCAGCCCTCAGAGACTTGGGTTCAAGTCCTAACTTTGACAGTTCTTGGGAAGTTCAGTTCACTTCTGGGAGCCTCAGTTTTTTCCATCTGAACAATAGGGATGATGTTTATACATAGCTCATAGGGGCTCTTGTGAGATTTAAATGAGAAACTCATGCATGGAAGTGATCAGCAGGTGGGTGACAAATATTATTATTGGGCTGATATTCTTTCCTCTTTATATTTTTAAAATTTTTGTAGAGATGGGATCTCACTATGTTGCCCAGGTTGATCTCAAACTCCTGGCCTCAAGTGATCCTCCAGCCTTGGCCTCCCAAAGTGCTGGGATTACAGACATGAGCCACCGCACCAGCCCTAGGCTGATATCTTGAGTTCTACATCAAAAGGCTTTCTTTCCCAAATGTCCAGAAAAAGGGGGAGAAGGTGGATTCCGGGAGTCGGTGGCCCCATGAGGTTAATCCCCACCTCCCAGTCTGAAGATTTGTGGGAGTAGATAGTAGGATCAGCTTGACAGGGACAAGGGGGAGATGGGCATTCCACTGGGGACCAGGTCAAGGATGTGCCACAGACGCTCAGAGGCCGCCAGATTGACCAGGGCTTGCGACTTTCAGAACTTACGTCAGGTTGGTGACCAGGCAGTAGCGGAACATGTCCTGTGTCTGGCCGTCTCTGTAGAGTGTAGTGACCTAGAAGGAAGGGGAGGGGGAAGAAGTGAAATGGAGGCGGGTGACATGGCGTCTCTTGGTGATGGCTCTGACGCTTTGGAAAAAGCACAGGTCTTGGGGCAAAGAAAGCCAGAGTTCAAATCCAGACTCTGCCCTTTAACTCACTGTGTGACCTTAGGCACACCACGCCCCCTTCTGAGCCTCAGTTTGCCCACCTGGGAAATGGGAAAGGCAGCCAGGGTGCCACCTTTGGAAATTGAGGGAACGCAGAACATGTGGGTCAAGTGAAACCATTGCTTTAAGTCAGATGGAGGAGGGCGAGACACAGCTGGGCAGGGAGAGCGGGGAGGGCTGAGAGGGTCCCCACCTTGTCTTGGATGTCCCTCAGCAGGACCAGGTACTCCCAGGATGTGGTGTCTGGACGGCTGAGGTTCCAGTTGGTGATGCGGAAGTCGATCTGATACTCGCCCTGGGTCAATACATCCCAGAGTGCATAGCCTGGAGCCACAGAGAAAAAGACCAGATGGGGGGCGGAGGGGATGGAAGGAGAAACACTTTGCTTTTTGTACAGAACCAGGATGGCTCAGGGGTCCCTGCCTACTGTCAGAATAAACCAAAATCAGGTCTGCATGCTGGGGGCTGCAGGAGTTCTTAAGCACAAAGTCACCCCCCAAAAGGGGAAAAAACTAGGATTTCACAGAGATTCTCCTGCTTCGGCATTTTTATGAATTCTCTCCCATCTTTCTTCTTTTTCTGGCGAACTCCTGTTCATGCTTCAAGAACCCAGTGAGAGGGAGCTCTATGAGAGCAGGGGCCCAGGCATGTCTTGTTCACGGTTGTGTTCTGGTGCTTAGCATGGCGCTGGGCACATATCTTCTTCCAGGAAGCCCTCCTTGACTTGCCCTTCCTCTGAGCTCCCACAGTACTCAGCAGCACTGTGCTGGTGTTTTTACTGTGCCCCTAACTAATCTTTGGTTACTTAAGTATAAATTTTTCAGAGAGAGAGACTGTGCCTTCCACCTTCATACCCAGGACAGGGTTTGGGGCAGAACAGTCAGATACATGTATGCTGAATGAATAAATGTGAATTGCAGCAGGTGCTCAAATACAGGAGGTTGAGATACTCATCTTCCTTTTTTTAATTTTTGAGTCAGGGTCTCACTCTGTTGCCCAGGCTGGAGTGCAGTGGCATGATCGTGGCTCACCACAGCCTCAACATCCTGGGATCAGGCAATCCTTCTGCCTCAGCCTCCCAAGTAACTGGGACTACAGGCACTCACCACCTGCCTAGATAATTTTTTTTAATAGAGATGAGGTCTTACTATGTTACCCAGGCTGATCTCGAACTTCTGGGCTCAAGTGATCCTCCTGCCTCAGCCTCCTAAAGTGCTGGGATTACTGGTATGTGTCACTGTATTGTATACTTGAAATTTTCTAAGAGAGTAGATCTTTTTTTTTTTTTTTTTGAGTTGAAGTCTCACTCTGTTGCCCAGACTGGAGTGCAGTGGCCGCTCCTGGCCACCGCAGCCTCGACCTGCTGGGCTCCGGCGATACTTCTGCCTCAGCCTTCCAAGTAGCTGGAACTACAGGTGTGTGCTACCACACCCGGCTCATTTTGACTTATTGTAGAGATGTGAGAGTAGATCTTAAATGCTTAAATATTTAAACATTTCAAACACACACACACACACACACACACACACACACACACACACACACACGCGGTAACTATGTGATGTGTTAACTAACTTACTGTTGTGATCATTTCACAAGGTGGACGCATATCAAATCATCACATTGTACATCTTAAATTCTTAAATATATACAACTGTATTTGTCAGTTATACTTCAGCAAAACTGACAGTGGGGAAGATAAGGAGAAACAGACTTAAAATAATGAAACTCATGACATCAACTTGGTCAAATAATTTCATGCTATTTACCAGAAATGATAGGAAAGGCCCTTCCCCCCGGCTGTTTGAGGAAGAGTGTCTCCTAACCAGCCCCTGGGCTGCCTTTTTAGAGAGGAAACACGTCGGGGACAAGTAACGGTCACTGTAAATCCAAGTTCAACCTGACCACTCACCATTGATGAAGAGGCTGTTCCTGACCAGGACATACGAGCCCAGCGAGGTGATGCCTTGGGTCAGCTGGTTGAACTCCCAGTAAAGTTGCTTAATGTCCAGCCCGGGGCCCATGGGGTCAGGGCGGTGGGTACAGATGGTGTCCACACCAGTGGCTGCCCCGTCCTTCTCAGGCCTGGGGAGAGAGAAGTGTGAGGGCTCGAGAGAGGTCTCGAGATTTCTGGAGATGAAGACCAGAAGGAGGGAGGATCATTGGAAAGTCTGAGAAGTAGGGTGGCCACGCCTGTAATCCTAGTGTTTTTTTTTTTTAACAAGGAGGACACCAAACATACTTTATTAGCACAAAAAAACAGCCATAACAAGGCACGGCAAGCAGAAACATAACATTAGCAGTCAAAAGGTTAGTGTTGCATACAAATATAGCTTTTCTGTTTTGTAGTCTCAGCAATAGCCATAGGGATGTAAAGTAACATTCTGTAGCAGCAGGTAAGGAAACTAGGGAGCGCTCACCAGTGGTACAGAGCTTATTAACAAAAGACACAAGAATGAATTTGGCTACTTTAGTGCAAAATGTCTAGGACAGAACTGTAAACTCAGTTTAGTTACTAAGAAGCAAACACTAGAACCTGATATAACTTCCAAAAGAGCTCACTCAAGTAGTAGTACATATTTTTCTAAGTGACAAAAAGGTGCTAAGTAAAGTTATTTACAGATATAATGGCTGTACAGTACCTTTTAAATCTGCAATTTAGGTTTAAGATTTTCCATTAAGAATTAACTGTGCCGAAACTCTATAAATTAGACTTAAGTAACTCAGCTAGGAGAGTTACCACAAAGAGATAAATACTGCTATCTGGATTCTTACAGTTGAAAAATAATCTCAACACCAGCAACCACTGTAGTTACTGTTATCTGACTTGTTTGGGCAAATTCTAGTTTCATTTTCTTCATGGTTCACAAACGCATCACAGGCATAGGAAAAGATTCAACTTTTATGAAACAACAATTAGACTGCACGTCAACTGAAAAAAAAAATACAAGCAGGATTACATTACAGCAGCTATTCCAAATACCTGTTTCAAGTTAAAGCACTTCAAAAAGTGAATGCCTAGGGCCTTTAAATAAAATTCTACTGCTAATTTTCTAAGTCTAAACTTTTAAGAACTATCTAGAAAACCTGGTTTACTTAACAGTACCTTTTGCAGAAGACAAAGGAGTCTGCTATAGCCTGCATCAACACTTATGTGAACTGCACTATGCCCTTGTGGCCAGAAAATTGCATTTTTTTTCTCTAAAAGGAAGGCAGTTTTTTATTTATTTGGACTTCCAAAGCTTGATTTATAGTAACTACAAACATCACTACTTTTGGAAGGTTATAGAAAAGTTCTTAGAAAAAATAATTTCAAACATTAGTCACATGGTTGAAATACTCATCCTATATTAATAATGTGTTCTTCAGTAAGAAATAGAATGCTTCATAGCAAATGCCCCAGAGTTGCCTCACTCAATTACTATAGCCATTAAAAACCAAACTGGTAGCGAAATTGGCAAAGTGTTTTTGTCCTCTTACTGAACACCTGTAGCTCTCTCCCCTGTCATTCCAATAGGCACCACATTTATCTGGATAAGTAACAGCAGATCACATCTGACAGACAATAACACTGAACCCTACGTACTGTGTGAAGAAACCTAGCACTGATATGTGTGCTTGCTATAGGTGTACTGTCTGATGCACATGAAAGCAGATCCAGTTCAGACCCTTTGGGGGCAGGAGAGTTTACTTTGCCTTGATTGGTTCTCATTCTAACCAGCGAACCCTCACTTTTTGCTTACAATGATACTCTTAAAAAATCCTCCCGCGCCTTTGGGAGGCTGAGGTGAGTGGATTGCCTGAGCCCGCAGATTTGAGACCCGCCTGGGCAGCGAGACCTCATCTCTACAATAAATCAAAAAAAATCAGCCGGGCGTGGTAGCGCATGCCTGTAATTCCGGCTACTTGGAAGGCTGAGGCGGAAGGATTGCTGGAGCCCAGCGGGTTGAGGCTGCGGTGGCCGGGAACGGCCACTGCACTCCAGTCTGGGCGACAGAGTGAGACTCCAACTCAAAAAAAAAAAATCCTGCAACATCGATAGGAGAGGCAGTCCATCAATTCCATCATACGTAGTGCACCTGCAGATTACTGCATGACAGATATAGTGCAGGCTAAAAGGAAAAGTCCTGTTTAGTGATATAGTAAGCAAAGTTTCAAAAAACATGCAAGAACTGGGCTCTTTATAATGTTCTAAAAGTCCTGTTACAGTGGAGGAGTGAAATACACACGGGTCGTGGGCATCGGAACTAAAGTTGTGATTCCACTGCTCGATTTGGGCATGCAAGGGTCTGTTGTAGCGGTGGAAGTTCACAGAGAAGAGGTAGTCCTCTTGGGCCGAGTCCCTGAGCAAAAATGTGCTTTCAGGTTTCCCTTCGAGAAGGGCTTCTGCTTCATAGTGGTCCATCACTCCCCAGTAACAGGGGTTCCCTATAATCTGAAGCAAATCGGGCGCCAAGCAGTGAATGTAATCGATCTGCATTTGGACTTTCCAGGCACCCTGTCTGCTCATGTGAGCATGGCTGTCTCCAGACACCTGGCGCTGCTTCTGCCTGCGCGACTGCAAACACAGGGTGGTTGTATCCTCTTCCGAGTCACAGCTAGCCTGTGGGATTGCGGAACCATCCCCACTTACTTCACTCATTCCAGGAGCTAACTTTGGTCCCAGTTTATATAACGGATTAACCTGTGCAGTAGCTTCAAATGTGTGTATTTGTGCATTGGGAGGAAGAATCGACCCCTTCTTCGATACTAAGCCATCTCCTCTCTCTAAGCCTGTCTTCTCCATCCTCTGTAGAAATCAAAGATGGATCGAACATATCAAAAAAGATTGAATGTGGACTCACAGGGGCTGCATGCTGTTTAATCAAATGCCATTTTGGCGCCAAATCTGAGCCAGCCGGAAAAGGGCATTTTTCAAGCATTAATTCAGAAAGACGTATTTTTCTTTTATTGGAAAAGAGAGGCTTTGACTGCTTGCTGTAAGTTCTCATGGGAAAACACAAGCCCACAGTCTCCTGCAGCCTCTGGCAGAGAGAACGACTCCCCATGGTTCTGCCGGAAATACCGTCCGTGTCACGCACAGATCTCACACCATAGCGCCTCTCTTGCCTCTGCAGCTCACTTTGAGTTCTACCAAACTTTTTTTTTTTTTGAGTTGGAGTCTCACTCTGTCGCCCAGACTGGAGTGCAGTGGCTGCTCCCGGCCACCGCAGCCTCCACCTGCTGGGCTCTGGCGATCCTTCCGCCTCAGCCTTCCAAGTAGCTGGAACTACAGGCGCGCGCTACCACGGCCGGCTAATTTTTTTGATTTATTGTAGAGGTGAGGTCTCGCCGCCCAGGCGGGTCTCAAACCCGCGGGCTCAGGCAATCCACTCACCTCAGCCTCCCAAAGGCACGGGATTACAGGCTGTTCTGCCAAACGTTTGATCAGTATCCAATGAGCTCTGGGTCTTGGTAGAACAGGAATGCTTTTTCTTCCCACCCCACGGAGCATGTCGAGAGTAGGAACCTCTTCGTGCAAGTGTCATTTCTGGTGCAGCACAAGAATCATTATCCTTTTCAATGCTTATTTCAACAATCTGAGGGATTT